ACCATACAAGCTCCAAATAATCGTGTGAAACGTCGAATTCTCCTATCTCTGATAAATAACGTCAGCCCAGGACAGCGGATCCGCGAGATCTAAATGAAGGGACGTATGGTCGGATTGCAAGAAAAGTTCCTCAAAGCGATGCTGAAAGCTAGAAGCACTTCAAGTCGCCCGGATAGAGACGTTATTCTAGCTGCTACAAAAGAACCCTCATTGATTCTTCCTCGCCATGCGGTTATGAGGCCTCTCGAGGCTGATAGCAGTACTTACTCGTTTACCAACTTATGACACGCTAAAGAGTCCCTTCGGAGCATGAAAGACGAATATCGTTCTCGTACATGAACGTAGCCAACGTCGTTTATGCGAGAAATTTTTGAAAGAATTCCATCTCGTTCGTAATAATTTTACGCGAATTTTTCCCGCGCATGAATAAATTTGCATAATTCGCGCCGTTGACTGATCCCGATAACGTAATTCAACAATGTTGAAACGAGATGACTCGATTTTGTCGAAGTGTTTATTGCTGTTAACACGTTCAGTGCCGCGTGGGCCATCGATGGGCCACGTTGGACTTTCCGGTCAGAGCGTTTGGTAATTTCGTATAGGAAGAAATATTAATATGCTTCATAAAACCGTGGGTCATCCATGACCCACGTAGCACAATGATACGTTTTCAATTCTCTAGGTGACGTGTTGCTATTGGTAAATAGTATATATAACAGGGGTGGCCATAGTGCGGCTCTCGCAGGCGAGTGGTGCGGCTCTTATGCAAATAAAATGTATGTATGAAATATGGTAAACTAAAATTGATCAATGTCCAAAAGTAATTATTTTATTTCATTTCTTGTTCCAAAGTTATTAGTAAACTAAAACTTTAAGAAATTGAACTGATTTTTCAGTTTCTCATTGTTTGTTTTGTTATCAAAAATAAATAAATGGCTCTGTCAAATATTCCTTCCTGAAATGTGGCTTCCAAATGTAGTGTAGCTGGCCACCCCTGGCATATATGTATAATGAACGCTGTAACGTGGGTCATCGGTGACCCTCGCGGCTTGAAAGGAAAGTCACGTGAATATGGCGCGGCACTCAATGTGTTAATCCTTCATTTTTCACTTTATAATCATGTCACCTGTTAAATATACATGCTTTTTCATAGAACATTATGAAATAACGTGGTGTCCCACCGGTGGGTCACGCCGAATATTCAAGCTTCTTCTGTCATTTTTGCCGGAGTGACCCATCGGTGGGTCATCGATGAAAATTTTGTTTAAATTCATCTTATGTTTCTTTAATGCGCTATGCTTCCCCATCGTTACAACGCTAAGTTATTTCTTTGAATATTTGTAGAAACAATAAGCACAAAATATCCTCCGAACGTTGCAAAACAGTAAAATATACATTTATACAACAGACTAAAATCTCGAAAAACATTCTAAGCAACTAGTATCCCCTATTACATCCTATTTCACGTCACACCGTACGAAATTTGCAATTCCATTGCGACAACAGTCAAATTTCAAGCCACCGCCTAAGTAAACCGAGAATAGAATCTATTATGAAACTATTATCTAAGTAAATCGAGTAATCCCGTAAGTAAATCGAGAATAGTATCTGCACGTCCGTGGGAGACTTTTTGCTCAGACTGAGCTATCGAACGATCTGTCAAAGTTCTTTACAGCGGTTCTGAATCACCCTTTGTACAAAGTGGGTCACGCAGTTGACACAGGCTATACAGGGTGTTTTTGAACTGCAAGTAGAAAGTCTGCTTGAGTTCTACGCAAAATAACTGGTATCTCGGGGGAAGAAAATATGTTGGAAGTGTTCAAAAGTGTTGAACTTTCGTTTGTGTTGTATTCTTTGTGCAAGTTCGTCTATTTTCCATAAAAAGGAGCGGCGGCAGTGCGCGCGAGAGAAACAAAGAAGGTAAGAAAAGTATGTGAAAAAGGTGAACGGGCAAATTTGAAAATTGTCGTATTCTGTGGTCGAAGATTAGTAGTGAGCCGCTCAGAAGCCAAAATGATTAACTCCACCTTTTGATATTTTTCAAATTTTAGCATCGAGGCAAATGCTTGGTGCTTCATTTTTCATAAATAAAACAAATTTAACAAATTTTATTTGCAGGAATTAGTCAACTTTGGTATTTGGGTAGCTCACGTTACTAAGAACTAAATAAGACTGCCCACATAAGAAAGGAAGATCGTTATTTCAACAAAAACCGCTAAAATCTGACGAAACGAATTAAAAATGTTTATTACCATTTGGACGTTCGTATTCTCCATTTCTTCACTTGAACAAGTACACGTACCCATTTTGAGTAACTCCGAATTACTCCGTAAAAAAGACTACGAATTCACGATCCAATAAATATACAGTGTGACGCAAAAGTCCCTGGCACGTTTCAAGGTAACTCCCGAAATTTCGCGGGAAACGATGGAAAACGTGGAGAAAAAAGAGCGTATCTGTGTCATCAAAAAGAACATGAAGAAATCTTTGTCAATAGAAAAAATATCTCGATGCATAAAATTTTAGTTTCGCCTTTTAATTTTTCGCCTCCGCGTTTTTCCTCTCCGACATGCACAATAATAAAAGAAAGAAAATTGCCAGGGATTTCTGCGCCGCCCTGTATTCTCTAAAACGTTAAACACAGCTCTGAGTTGTTTGCTTTGATCATGATTTGAGAACACGAATTCTAAATAATAAAATAAAAAATATTTCGTAATCACGTGGACCTACGTATAGAGTTTTGATTGTTTTTATAATTGACCGAAGGGTGTTCACGTTACATATACGGTGAGCTAATAACAAGAAAGTACAAAATATATTCTTTCATTGTAAGAATTCATTTTTATGTATGAAAGTGGTAACGATAGGTATTTGTTGAACGTTTCACGAAATATGTATTTCCAACTTCTATTCACGTTGCATTTTCTATTATTCGTGAAACGTTAAGCATATACGGTGAATAAAAAATTTCATTCCAGTATAAATAATAAACGATCCCATTGGTGTTATCAATTCTGGAACAAATGGAAATAGACCTGTAGTATGTATGAGATCTTCTTGTGGCTCAGAATGATTTGTCAAGCTCGCCTGTAGAACTTCCCTTGCAAGACAGCCTGTTTAGATAGACAAATTTTCTTACACCGTTACACTTTTTCCGTCATATTTCGAGCTACGTGACCCGTATAAAGAGTGAACCACGTAACGTGACCACTTCTATTATTTTCGTTGCAAGTGGACCAATCAAAATTTCTTTCTGTCATAGATTTCACAGTTTCGAAAGACCTTGAGGTGATACAATTAGATTTTTCCTAAGGTATGTCTTTTTTAAAATCACTTTCAATTTTTTCGTGTGTAACCTTACAGTTTTCTCTTATTGGTCTATCGGTGAAAAAGCTCGGTAAGAAATATATATTTTTTTTTCATCAAACAGAATGATACGGCGATAAAAAAAAAATTTGTCCAAGAGGAGCGACATACAATTTTTGTAATTGTAAGCTTCGAATTTACTTAAATTTACGGTATTACGTGTTCAAAATTCCGATTGTTGGTTTCTTTTCTACACAATCGCGTGAAATTAGTACTGTGAAGTTAAGTAAATTCGAAACTCAACACCGTCACTGCCACCGACGCACCGTGTGCGGTCCAGGATGTACTGCGCAACGTGCTATCGATTTTCTGGTGGCAGTGACCGCGTCAAGATTAGAAATATCGCGCGTCATTCCTGTTCGAAAAAATTACTTCTCACCTAAATGATTTTATCGCTGTATCGTTTCATTAGATAAAAGAAAAATATATTTTTTATTAAGCTCGTTGAAACTATAAAGTTATGTAAAAGAAATTGAAAATAATTTTAAAAGTTTATTCGAAAAAGAGACATAGGAAAAATCTAGTACCGTCACTTTGAAGGTCTTTCAAAACCTTATAATCTGTAACACAAGAAATTTTTATCGATACACTAATAATGAAAATAATAGCGGTGACCACGTTATGTGGTTCGTCCTCTATACAGGTCACGTAGCCCGGAGCGGCAAAAAATGGAGGAAAAAATGTAATGGTGTAAGAAAATGTATCTGCGTACTTACGTAGACAGGCTGTCCCGCGAGGGAAATTCTATAGAGTGCTTAACAAATCATTCTGAGGTAAAAAAAGGTCGCAAACATACTATGGGTTTATCTCCGTTTGTTACAAATGGAAAAATGTTAATTATTATTTTTATTCAAACGAAACTTTTTATAACGAAACTAGCGTCACTTCTTTTATACGTAAAAATGAATTTTTACAATGAAAGAATATATTTTTTTACTTTTTTTGTAATTAGGTCATCCTAAGTGTAATGCGAACTTATTTTCATATTTTTCGAGAGTGAATTATGAAAACATAATCAAAACTATTAATCTTCAATGTGTCATTCGCCACCTTTGTGTACTACGACGCGTTTTTTCTCTTTGTTCTTGTATAAAACAGAGCTATATTTGATTGTGCCTCCTTTTTAATTAAAAATATAGAAGAAAATTTTAGAACTTTTTAGTATCTAATCTT